CTGCCGCCCCCCTCCCCCAATCGTCAGGGAAGAGATGGGGGAAAATGCAGGGATTTTGGTGCAGGAACGCCCGGAACGGGGGCCTGGCGTCCTGTAACGTGTACACAGGCGCAGGGGAGAAGGGGGGTACAGCCTCATCCCCTGGGAGCCTGATGGGTGCGGAGGCAGAAGCACCTTCACCCACGTGTGTAGCTAAATCCAGTCGTTCAGGGGGTGAAATCCTTCCGCGTGTCCGTGTGAGAGCTAGTGGACATTCCGTAGAGCAGGTTCATTTAAGGAGGTCCCAGACCAGAGCATAAAAGCACAGGAGATGAGTGAAAATGGAGATATCCCAAAATAAAAAGCTAAGGCACTGATATCATGAGAAAAGCTCCTTGCCCCACATGGTGTGGGAAAGAAGAGCTGAAGAACATCAATTAGGCATAATTCCTGATCATTAAGTCTGTCTGGTACCCAGTCACAGGGTTTTGGAAACCACTAAGAGAATATATGAGTTTATCACTTAAGAAACATGACTCCAGACATCTAATTAGCTCGTTTTGCTGGGATTTTAAACAGTTTCTCAGTAAAATGAGGCTCTTTGTTTGAGGATATTAAACTTTTCTCCTAGCAGGCTCATCAAGAAATCATTACAAGTGTGGGAAAGAAAGTAAAAAGAATAAGCACGAGTAACTTGTTTATATATATATATATATATATATATTTCACTATGACGTAGAGACCTCATTTGAGATCAGACTCCCTTGTACTGGGTATAGAGAAGTTGTGTTTAAGTTACCGAAAGGCAGTATCTGTTGTTGCAGCTTGAGTCTGGACAATCAGGACGTGTTCTGGAGCACCCCAGCATCCTGCACCCAGCATCCAGCCTTGCCGAGAAGATGAGCTTCTCTTCCTGAGGAAATCTAGCACTGCATCTCTGAAGCACAACTTTTGGCTTTGAGGTTCTCCGGCACCCAGAGAAGAACAGACTTTGCCTCGCTCATGTGCTTGCTTTATTTGGCTTAATTAAATGTTCTGTTGAAGGCTCAGTTAATGCGCAGCGTGGAAAAGCAGGCAGAGATTTCCTTCCCCTACATACCTCACTGAAGTTACCCAAAAGTTAAGCTATTCTCTGGATAGGACAGGGTCACGCTGGACTGGGCTGTAAGAGGGAATATTGTGCTTGGAGCTGTTGCAAGCATGATAGCGTTGCAGATCTGAGGGGGGAAAAAAGCTATTGCTCACTGGCTGTGGGATGTTTCTTCCCGCTTGCTGGCCTTTAGCAATAGGAGCTGTGGTTGTGGAGGCCTTTTGTGTGACTTTTTGGAGGAATCTGGTCCAGCTGCCAGAGCTGGTAGACTGTGATCCTTGATTAACTTGTCCTGGTGCTCTGTCATTTCCTTTTGTGGCTTGGACTCTTATTCCAGACTTAAGCTCCAGAACATCTTCAGAAATTGGAATCTAAGCTCTTTTCTTTACACATGTAAAACCTTTCTGAGCCGAGCTGAGGACGTTTTGGGGGCTGTGATAACTGAGCAGAAGGCTGAGGCGGGGGGTGGTGCGAGTGCAGGCTGTGATTTCAGTTGTTGCAGGGATCGCTGTGCTCTGCTTGCTGCAGTGCCGGTG